TTTTTTTTTTTTTTTAGAGAGATTTTCACTATAGGGCGCGTGCGCTCGCCAGACAGAGACAGAAAGCAAGAAATCACCCCCCAGGGGGGATGGTCATGCCGCAATCCCTTCTCCTCCAGTCTCCTCTCAGGATCTTGGGCACGCACGCACACGCGCCCGGCGTGAGTTTAAGCCACCGGGTCCGGGACGCGAACCGCGGTCGACTATGTGGGAGTCCAGCGACATAGGCATTACACCAACTGCTGGTTCCCATGATTTTCAAGCCACCAGGCTCAGGATTCAAACTGCTGCCAGCCATGTGGGAGTCCAACATTATAACCACCATGCCATCTGCCGGCCACTGCTATTTGTTCTTTTAACGCTGATCACAACTCACTGAGTTGATTTCCCAAGCACATTGGCAGCTCACGTCCTGCAGTCTGGAGACACCACTGTAAATCTCGGTGAGCAGGAGTACTAGAAGCCTTGCCCACAGCCCGGGATGCCAGCTGGGGCTTCATCCCTTTCACCTCACACCGGTGCCCTGAGCCTCCTCATGACAGAGCTGGACCCAGTCTAGGCCAGTTATGGCCGCACAGAGGAGCCACCATATCCTGCGGAGCCCCTTTGCAGCCTGCCGAGAGCCCAGGCCTCTCTGTGACTCCCGGGCGCTCTCCATGCAGCGGGAAGGGGGCTGCCCAGTCATGAGGCACCGACAGATGGACACTGTCCTTCTGCAACCTCACAGCCCCTCTACAAGGAAGGCATTACTTTTCCCATTTCTCAGATGAAAAGCTTGAGTCCAATCGAGGCCTCAGGTGACTCTGGACTAAGCATAAGCAAGACCGGAACTCCTTTAGAATGTGCAGTGTGAATTCAGTGGGGACTTGTCTCCCAGCAAATGCTGAATAGGATAGACACGTGGCTGCGGGAACGTGCTGGACACAGAAAGCAGATATGAAGATGGGCATGGCAGGAGAACCCCCGCCAGCTGGCATCTGCAATCACAAGAACAGCCTCACCAGAGGAAGCTGACCTCAGGGAGAGCCAAGGGGACGGGAGTGGGGGGAGGGTGGTTTGTGTGCCACTATTGCTCCAGTCCTGGGGGTGCGGGGCGGGACAGGCACACAGAGGCCAAATCAAGAGGTCAGATGGGGTGGAGAGCCCACGCCTGCCCATGCCCTCACCGAGTCTCCTGCCAGCGATTGACAAGGGACTTTCTAGGCTGATGTGGCAGCTGGTGGCTAAAGCAGGTGGACCTGCTCTAAGGATTCTGTGCTTTGTACCAGAAGAGCCCTGCACCGCACCACAGACCTGCTGACTGGAGAGAGGACCAACGGTGGCATGATGTGGCCAAGGGCAGCTGGAAGAAGACATGGCAGTGTTTCTGGAAGGGCGTGGTCGAACTGTGGGGAAATGGGATGTAGAGTCAGGAGATTCTCTTTGGGTCACTGCTCTCTCTTCATGGAATGAGTGATCACTGAGCACCTTCCATGATGGGTCAAGCCCTAAGGGAAGCCATGGTGTGAAGAGGAAAAGGTTGTGTGTTCACAGGACTGTAAGAGGCCGTGAGGGATTGGAATAGAAGGGTACAGGGTCAGGGGAGGGGGCCAGCAGATAGCATGGTGGTTAGGGCACTGGACTCCCACATGGCCGACCACAGTTTGAGTCCCAGACCTGGCACTTTGCCTTCTCACTTTCCCTCTCTCTGTCTCTGCTGAGCGATGTGCCCTTTGGCAAAATTAAAATAATAATTATAATTTTTTTAAAAAGAAGGGTACAGGGGAGACAAGTTGTGACACCAGCCTGGGTCACACAGGTGCCATGCCTAGATCTCTGTAATTGGCAACAGTGATGTTAAATAAAAATTAAAGGAGTTCATTGTTTTGAACTAAATTCCTGCTCTAGGCCTCAAGAGATCAGAAAAATGGAGCCACTCATGCTGAAATGTCACAGCTTCAAATTGAGACTTAAAGGAAACTGATCATTCCCCCAGACAAACAGGTTTTCCTGAAAACAGGAGATTCCGGTGCTGGAAGGAAGGAAGCTTATGCACATGTGGCCATAGGAGTGCACACCTAAGATGTTATTACCTAGGCTTTTTGTTTCACGAACATCTTTATTGCCCAAATACAATTCTCCTTTGCCTTCCAGACTGTGTGCACTTACGTGTGAGCAAAGTGACTGCAGGTGATCATGAGGTCATCCTGCTCCTCTTACCATAGAATGCAGCCGGTCACTGCTGTACAGCATTCCTTGCTCGGGACCAGCAGATGGCATAATGGTTACATCACTGGATTCCCACACAGTCGACTACAGTTCGAGTCTCGAACCCAGCAACTTGAAATTCACACTGGGCATGTGTGAGTGCATGGCCAAAACTCCGAGAGAAGAATGGAGAAGATTGTGGCGTGGCTATCCCCCTGGGGGGCAATTTCTCACTTTTTGTCTCTCTGTCTCTCCAGGGAGCACATATGCCCTATAGCAAAAAAATAAATAAGACTCCTTGCTAACTTTCCCTCCCAGCCACAACTTTTGCCTTTAAAACTCACCATGGGGGCCAGCAGGTAATGTATTGGTTAAGGCTCTGGATTTCCACACGCTGACTGCAATTTGAGTACACTGGATCTGGTGGCTTGAAACTCACGCCAGGCAGTGTACGTGCAAGCTCAGGAGGAGAATGGAGGAGAAAGAATCGAAGCATGGCCATTTCCCCGATTGGGGGGGGGGGTGATTCCTCACTTTCCTTTTCTCTGTCTCTCTGGTGAGCACATGCATCCTACAGCAAAAACCTTACAAAAAAACAACAAAAAAACCCTGAAAAACTGTGGCAAACATTGAGCATATCAACTTTTAAATAATAGATTCTCTAAAGAGAAAAATGTTATTTATTTCAGAATAGACATTGAAATGTGGGCGATACTTGTCTCAGTAAACTAGGGCAGCATTCAGGGAGGTAAGGGGAAACGGGTTGTTTTTTGTTTTGTTTCTTAGTCTTTGTCATAGGGCACATGCGCTCACCAGACAGACGGACACAGAGAAAGAGGGAAAGCGAGGAATTGTCCTCCAAGGGGATGGCCACACATAACCTCTTCTCCATTTTCCTCTCAGGATTTTGGGCGAGCGCACGCGCACACACGTACACACGTACACACACACACACACACACACACACACTCATGCGTGATTCTCAGGCCACCCGTCAGAGGGTTGAACTGTGGTTGGCCATGTAGGAGTCCAGTGCCTCAACTACCATGCCACCTGCTGGCCCAGGAAAACAAGGCTTTTCTAAAAAGAAAAATGAGGAGGGATTACATAAATTGTCTGGAGCTACTAGGATCAATAACAAGGGCGGCTCCTGACCGAGGTGGAGCAAGCAGTTTCTGGACAGATGGCCTCACAGAAGCAGTGCGTGTGAAAGGCCGAAGGGGTCTTTGCACAAGGCTGTGGTTCTGGCAGAGTCCTTGTGAAAGTTCTTATCAGGCACGCTTGCACAAGAAGCACCACCTTGAAACCTTCCCCAGCTCGGTTTAGGAAGTTTAACACAAGCTGACACAAATGACTGGGATATTACCATGTTCCAGCAGGCATCTGACCCTGTTTCAAATAAAACCTTTTGCTTTATTCACTTTGCCCCAGCCTTCTTTAGGATGACAGTGGCAACGGGTGTGAAAGAAATGCCCAGGCCCAAGCAATTCACAGGCCACCAGGTCACATATGGGGACCTGAAGCCCCAGGAGTCATGCAGTTGTGCAGGAGAGACCAGAGAACCAAAGTGGCCCAAGTCCTGCCTTGTCGGGAGAGCTTTCTGCCTTTAAGGAGCCTATGTGCCTTCAGGAGCCTGGCTTCCACACTTAAAAAATTTAGTACCTTCAGGAGTGGCTGGGAGACAAGAGAGGTGAGGGGTGCTGGTTTAAAAAAAAAAAAAAAAGCAGAGGGGGACCAGAAGATGGCATAATGGTTACGTTGCTGGACTCCCACATAGTCCACCCTGGCTGAAGTCCTGGATCCAGCAGCTTAAAACTCAAACCTGGCGTGTGTGCCTGAGTGTCCAAAAGCCAGCCAAAGGAAGCGGGAATTTCTGAAACCCAGAACCACGCCCACGGCCCGCCCCTTTCTGCCTTACGTAATCCTCGCTGCCCCGCCTCCCCCTGCCTTCTCTTCCGGCCCCTCCTCTAGGACCACCCGCCTCAGCCGGTCCGCTCGCCGTCAGGTCCGCAGGCCTTTCCGGGTCCCTGACTGAGGCTCCGCCCCCTCAGTCGGATGATAGCCGCGCTCCGGGGGCTGTTCCCGGAAGTGACGTTAAAGGCCTGCTCCTGAGGAAGTGACGTCAGGGCTGCCCTTGCCGGGCAGGGAGGGCTGGGCTGTGCATCCCTTCGCTCGCGCTGCAGGGAGGTAGGAGGCCCGCCGGGGGGGGGGGCTCGAGGTGGCGTCGTGGCTGACGCACGCTGCAGGAGCGTTCCTGAGAAAGTTGGGGGTCGAGCGGGCAGAGGGCCGGGGCGGGGAACCTGGTCTTGCGGAAAGCGGGGCGTTCCTGGTGGAGCCCATTTCCTCAGTTTCCTCCACACACGTCCCTTCTGTTTTGGTTCCCCCCACACTCCTCCTCTGGTGCCTCTTAGTTCCTCCTTGAATTGTTGCGGCTCCTTTTTCTTGATCTTTCAACAACTCCATTTGGTCCCCTCGTTTTTCCGTTCAAACACCTATTGAAAGAGCAATCGAGAGAGTAAGGTCTTTGCAGGCTCCTGGGGTCCTAGTGCTGACTGTCATTTAGTAGGTGGTTTAGTTGGGCAAGCGCTTGACCCACCCGAGCTTCGAATGCCTTCTGTGATACGGACAGTACTAGAGCAACTTCTGGCAGTTGACGTGGGAGGGCCACTAATGCGAGGCATTGAGCCTCTAACAGGTGCTCTGTAAGTGGGTTTCTCCCTCCTGTCCTGCTGTTACTTCCACTTAAATCCCAGTGTCATTTTGCTTGTCTACCCAGTTTTGCTGCCCTACTTTGCATAGCCATTTCCCCTTCCCTTGGATTCTTGTCCTGTTTTTTCTTTTTCAATATCAGAGGGTATGTGCACAGAGGAGACAGCACCCCCACTCCCCTTGGGGCCTGGTCACACAGCTGTCCTTTTTCCTTCAATTTTCCATCCTGTCAGGATCCTGAGCACATGCATGTGAGCCCAGCATGAAGCTGAGGACCCAGGGCTTGAACCCCAGTTGGCTCTGTGGGATCCAGCTTCCTCTGCAGTACCCAACTACTATGCCACAAAACCAGGCCCAAACTTACATATTATTTCTTTGTATTTTGCTTCTAACTCTGAATGTCCCCTCACCCTGTACTCCTAAATCCTTTCTAGTATGTTGACTTCCTGTTATGTGTCCCAGCTCTTTCCATCTCTCTCCCTCACAGATGGCTCAGCGACTTCTCCTGAGGAGGTTCCTGGCCTCTGTCATCTCCAGGAAGCCCCCTGAGGGTCAGTGGGCACCCTTCGTCTCCAGGGCCTTGCAGCCCCCACAGTGCAGTCTTGATGGCCTGACAGTAACACCCAGCCCAGTCCGGACAGTATACACCACCACAGTCTGTAGAACAACCTTCAACATCCAGGACGGACCTGACTTTCAAGATCGAGTTGTCAACAGTGAAACACCAGTGGTTGTGGATTTCCATGCACAGTGAGTACCAGGGGCCAGAGAACAAGTGTTGATCAAGTGTCTCCTGTTTCCCAGTGGCCACTGATGTTTCTCATGGGTAGACTCTGGAGAGAGTCTGGCAAGACCCAGCCCCTGCTCTTTTTTTTTTTTTAGAGGTTTTTGCTATAGGGCGCGTGTGCTTGCCAGAAAGACAGAGACAGAAAGCGAGAAATCACACACAAACACACACATACACACCCCCAGGGAGGATGGCCACACTGCAATCCCTTCTCCTCCATTCTCCTCTCCGGATCTTGGGCACGCACGCACACGTTCCCAGTGTGAATTTAAGCCACCAGGTCCAGGACTCGAACCGCAGTCAACTACATGAGAGTCCAGCAACGTAGCCATTATGCCAATTGCTGGTCTCCCAGGCCCTGCTCTTGAGGAGTGCCATCTGGTAGAACACAGACTAGTAGAGACTCTTCAAAGCTGACCATGATTAGTGCCAGGAGATCTTCAGTTCTCTCTCTCACCGCCAGAGAAGCTCAGTGTTGCCTTGACCTTGGACCAGAGTTGGAAAAATAGAATACCATCATCTGTCCTTTGATGTACACCAGTTCCTGGCGCCGTAGATAAGTTCATTTTATTTTAACATCTTGCCACAAGACTGTTGAAAAGGCGGCAGAAAGTTATCAGTGCCATTACAGTGACGCTGTAGAATGCAGGGGATGGGCGAGGGTTTTTTTTGTTTTGTTTTGTTTTTTCAGAGCAGTGAGTTTGAAAGATATTTAAATGTGTGTGGCCTTCTGATTTTTAGTATGACCTTCTTCAGTTCCAGACCTTTGGGGCCTGGCTAGTTGCCTAGTTACAAAACAGTTGGACGAGTCCTCTCAGAATGAGGCATCCTTGGAAAAGCCACTGTAGCCTGAGTTGGAAATTGAGAGGTCTTCTGGACATGTCTCTGACAGAGTCTTTTGCTTTCTTTCTGGTTCTGTTAACGGATGGGAAAAGGTTGAGCTGTGTTGTGAAATCCTTGGCTCTTTGGGTCCAGATCACTAAAATTAGAGATCTGTCCCTAGGCGCAAAATGAAACTGCCACTATGAATGAAGTAGAGAGAAAAGAAGGTTTAATAGAAAGAAAGGAAAGGAAAGAAAGAAAGTACACCCAGAAAGGTTGTTGGGCAGGCGGATTGCCAATTGGCAACCGCGCTTGGTACTAGTTAATCGTTATTTTATTACTAGAGGTCATGAATATTCATTAATGGGAGGCTCCTTTATGCTGCCTATGTCCTTTAAATTTGAATCCGCACGTTTTCTCCTGCACCTGCGCATCTTCCTCACAGGTAAAGTGAGGAATTTGATCACCTAATTGCGTACGCCCAGTGCGAGTCAGGTTGCCCCAATTAGATTGCCCAATTAGTCTATCGCCTTAATGACCAAAATGTTTGCTTGGGTCCTTTTTTTTTTAAGAGAGGTTTTTGCTATAGGGCGCGTGCACTCGCCAGACAGAGGCATAGAGACAGAAAGCAAGAAGTCACCCCCCAGGGGGGAATGGTCATGCCGCAATCCCTTCTCCTCCATTCTCCTCTAGGGATCTTGGGCACGCACGCACACGCGCCTGGCGTGAGTTTTAAGCCACCGCGTCCGGGACATGAATCGCGGTCGACTACGTGGGAGTCCGGCGACATAGCCATTATGCTAACTGCTGGTTCCCTGGGTCCTTTTGATGAAAGAAAAATCCCTGTATGCTTCCCTCAAGCCTTAAGGAAGGAATATGGCAAATTACCTCGCCCTCCTGGCACCTGGGGCTAGGTGAGCCTTTCGCTTTTCTCTTAGGGCTGCCCGCTCATGGCTAACTGCCTACCACAGTTCTTTCTCTGACTCACCATGTTGCCTTTGGCAGGCTATGTGCACATGTGCCTGGTGTGAGTTTAAGCCACCAGTCCGGGACTCGAACTGCGGTCGACTACGTGGGAGTTCAGCGACATAGCCATTATGGTAACTTCTGGTCCCAAGAGTTTTAAAGACTGAAAAGAAAAAAGGAGCTGTCAGCCAGGGCTTTGTAAAAAGCAGAGCTACTCTACCCTCCTGGGGTGGTTGAGCCCTGTAGAGAGGGCTTCCAACATGGATGATAACTGGAGTAATGCCTCGTTTTTCTCCTTCAACAAGGAAACGAGGTGTGAGTTTTTTCATTCAGTGTCAGAACCTTTTTTGGTGCCACGCGGGAGAGAGGACAGCACAGCACTTTCCTGGAAGAGGGGCACACTGACCAGGGCAGCAGTGGTGGTTGATGCAGGGGCTGTGCGACCACAGGTAGCCTGGCGGCGAGAACCCTTGGAACACGACCTTGAATTGCCATCCCAGCTGTGCTGCTCACCAGCTCTGTTATTGATTGATGGGTTGATTTGTTGTCAGCTTCCCAGAGGGTGCGTGCACTCACCAGAGAGGGAGAGGGAGAGGGAGAGAGCACTCCCCAGTAGAGCATGGTCATTTCGCTGTCCCTTCTCTTTCATATCTCCATATTGTCAAGAGTTGTAGTATAAACTCACATGCCTGGTTTATTTTTCAAGCTGCCGAGTCTGGTATTTGAACCATTTAGTTAGCCACACGGGATCTGGCTCATTTGAATGGTAGGCCATAGAGAAACAAGAGGCCACGGAGCCACCCTACTAGCTCTGTGATCTTGCTCAGCTTTCTTAACTCAGATGAGCCATGGTTTCTCTTCAGGGTTGAGGGTTCTGTGCACGAGGAGCCGAGAACGTGCTGGCATAGCGACTGGCATGTTAAATCACTTGCAGCCCTTGGCTTCCCTTCCTTCTAGTTCCGAGTCCTCGTGCCGTTTGAAATACCTCTCCAGCTTCCAAAGCATTTATGTACTTTGCCTTCGTTGATTTATAACAGCTTTGAGAGGTCTAGTCTCTCGTTGTCAAATGAGGAAAATGAGACCAAAACGGCTGGTGAGGAGCTTCTCTTTGAACCCAAACCCTTTAACTTCAAGTCTCTTATTCTTCTGTATGACAGCATATTTCTCTGAGATATATTTATAAGAGACTTGGGACAAGTCCTGTGTTTTAGAGATCCAGGATCTGTTGAAGCTGCCCAGCTGCAGTCTCCTGGCTGTACCATTTAGTGTGTCAACATTACAGGTTAATAATCAAACACTATACAGAGATAATAAGGGCAAAAGGTCTCAGAAAGACAGGGGTAGAGGGATGTTCCAAGGGGACACTCTTTGAACTAACCGGGTACATCCTTTCTCACTTCCCAAGGTGGTGCGGCCCCTGTAAGATCCTGGGGCCACGGTTGGAGAAGATGGTGGCCAAGCAGCACGGGAAGGTGGTGATGGCCAAGGTGGACATTGACGACCACACAGACCTCGCCATCGAGTATGAGGTATGGATGGACAGGGCAGCCACAGGTAGCTGGTGGGAGCCGTGTTGGGGACCATCTGGAAGCCAGTAAGGAGGATGTCTTCATTTTCTCTCAGGAGCGTAAACCTCTTTGCAGATGTTATAGTCTGTTGTGTCTGAGTCTGGGTAGTTTATAAAAATAGAGGCTCATTCAGCTCACTGGGGGTCCGGAGTGGCATCTGGTGGATGGCATGGTAGAGGGTGGGAGTGCAGGCAGAGCAGGGTACGTTCCTGTCTGTCTCTCGCCCTCCCCTTAAAGCCCACCAGGACTTAGACATGAAGCCCCACCCAGGTGCCTAGTCACCTCCTAAATCCCCACATTTTGCATCATAATTAGATTAAGTCTCCTTTGCAATACAACCAAATCCCAACGTGTGGATTCAGGGGGACACATTCAAACCATGGCAACAGATGTGACTGGGTCCTCTGAGGCAGTGTCCCCTTGTAGCTCGTTAGGAGGTGAGTAGGCTGTGTGACCCAAAGCACCAGATCATTCTCTGGATTTGGGACATAGATACGTTCTCTCCTTCATCCATGCGCATGTTCAGTCAGCTGTCATTTGTGAGCCCCACTGTGCATGCATGATTCCGGCATAAATGACACCCTGTCCCCAGGCAGCTCTCTGTGCAGCAGGCAAGAGCGGCAGGTAGACAGATCAGTACAACAAAGATGAGAAGTGCCGGGAGAACAGCCACATGAAGGAGAGGAGCGGTCAGACATTAGAGAGTCTGTCTCAGCTGAACCGTGAAGGATGCACAAAGATAGGAAGGAGTGAGCCAGCAGATGGTGTGGAGGTTACGGCAGCTGGATTCCACTCGGCCGACCACATGGTCTGAGTTCCAGACCTGGCAGCTGGAAGGCACTCAGGGCACATGCGCGTGCGTGCCCAAAATACCAAGAGGAAGATGGAGAAGAGGGGATTGTGGCGTGGCCATCCCCTGGGGAAGAGTCAGGGGAACCTCTCCTTTTCCCTCTCTTTCTGTCTCTGTCTGTCTCTGGTGAGCGCACACGCATACTACAGCTGGGGGTGGGGGGTGATGACATCATTTGCATATTCACTCAACAGGTGTTTATTATTTATTGAGAGTCCCTCAAATACCAGGACCTGCTGCTTGGTGTTAGGATGTGAAGAGAACGGACAAAAACCCCGCCTCACGGAGCCTGCAGTCTGTGCTGGCATTAGAAATCAGGAGTTGGTAGACTTTCCCGTAAGGAACCAGGTGGTAAACATCCGGGGCTTTGCAGGGCAGTGGTCTCTGCTGCAGCTGTTCAGTTCTCCTTGTAGCCAGAAGAAGCCACAGATAATATACAAACAAATGACTGAGACTGTGTTTCAATAAAAACTTTACTTATAGGCCAGCCAGTGGCATGGGAGTTAGGCAGCTGGATCCCACATGGCCAGCTGTGCAGTTCAAGCCCCAGACCCAGCGGCTTGAGAAATATGCCAGGCACTTGTGTGTGCGCATCCAAAATCTTGAAAAGAAAAATGGAGGAGAAGGGATTGTGGCATGACCATCCCTCATGTGGGAATACTTTCTTGCCTTCACTCTCCAAGGCTCTATCTATCCAATGAGTACACACATCCTCTGGCAAATTAAAAAAATAACATTAAAAAGCTTTATTTACAAAAATAGGTTGAATTTGGCCTTTGGGTCATAGTTTTCTGACCTCTGTTTTAGATAAGTGCTATGGGACCAGCAGATGGCTTAATGGCTACATCTCTGGACTCCCATGTAGTCGACTGAGGTTTGAGTCCCGGACCCAGTGGCTTAAAACTCACGCCGGGCGCATGTGTGCGCGTGCCCAAGATCCCGAGAGGAGAATGGAGGAGAAGGGATTGCGACGTGGCCATCCCCCCTGGGGGGTGATTTCTCGCTTTCTGTCTCTGTCTCTCTCTGTCTTTCTGGTGAGCGCATGCACCCTATAGCAAGAAAACCTCTCCAAAAAATAAATGAATAAATAAGTGCTATGGAGAAAAATAAACGAGGAAGAAGGGATGCTGAGCGTTGGGGGTGGGGAGGCCTCACTGAGCAGCTGATATTGGAGCCAAGCCCTGAGGGGAGTGAGAAGTGGCCATCCAGGCAGAGAGACATCGCACACAAAGTTCCTGAGGCCAGTGAGGAACACCCGGGTTGTTCACAGACCTGTGGAGCCCCCTCTGAGACCACCACAGTCGGGAAAGGGGAGATTCCCATTGCAGCCAGGTGGCCAGAGCACAGAGTTGAGCAAGGAACAGGACAGACAGCTGGGAAAGCAGACTGGCCGCATCGGCGGGGCCTTGGGGTGCCATGCTGAAGAGAGCGATGTTACAGAGCCAAGGATGCTCTTGGCAGCTAATGCGTTAAATGCGGTTCACATACACATTCAGTCTGGCCTTTGGGGTATTTTTGAAGAAATAGCAAACCAGGTACTGATATTTAAAACTCAGAAGATTTCATGTGGAAAAAATCCAGATTTCTCCATTAAGTCTTGAAGTATCTTGGCCTAGCCAAATTGAGCCTTCACTTCTGACTCTGAGTCTGAAAGTCCAGGCTTCACACCCAGTAGACCAGCTCTGTAGAGATGCCATCTCCCGCTGGCTCAGTGGTGGGACATGGGGAGAGGTCGGCAGGCTGCCCCTTGAGCTAGGAGGAAAAGGGGATGGGGTTGTGATTACCCAAAGGAAAACCAGGCTGTCCTTGCCAGAGGCAGGGAGATAGATGTGGGGGTCAGGGGGAGCAGGGCCACTGGTGACTTGCAGGCGGCTGCAGAAATAAAGTTCTCCAGGAGACTTGGTAATTGAGAGTGCCTCTGAGGGCCCAGGGGGAGGGTCGAGTTGCCACGTCCATCCATTTCTGTGCCCCAGCTTCCCTGTACTCGTCCATCCCTCACCCCGAGGCTGCAGCAGGTGGGAGAGGAGTTTGGTCTTCAGTGCAAGGTTTGGACCAGAGTCCCTGGCGCCTTTCACAGGGTTTAGGCAGGTGTCTCAGCCTTCCCTCGACTGCTGGGCACCAAGACCTTGGCCTCAATGCTGTGACTTGACAGATACGTATGGAGGGCCAGCCAGTGCCGGGGACTGCGCGGTCCGGGACAGATGCAGAGGAGGGCCCCGTTCCTTCTGGCAGAGGTCCTGGGGGACGGTGGGAATTCCCTAGGCTGTCCCCACCCACATTCCAGGAAACCCGATGGGGTCAGGTGCCGATGTCCTGCGCTTAGATCTGGAGAGTGAGGAGATCCCTCTTGTGGGGTCTTCTCAGTCACCTCCCTCTGTCCCCTGTGTGGGTGGCGTGCTGCTCACACAGAAGGGCCTCAGGCTGTGGGCCCACGTGAGCTGCTCTCATTCCCCTCATCTTGCCAAGGCCTGCTGATGGTGTGGCAGGGCATAGGAAGCCGCAACAGGGATTCTTTTTGAGAGTTTTTGTTTGTTTTGTTTTTTGGTTTGGTTTGTTTTGCTATAGGGCGTGTGTGCTCACTAGACCAACAGAGAGAGAAAGAGAGACAGAAAGCGAGAAATCACCCCCTAGGGGGGATGGTCACGCCACAATCCCTTCTCCTCCTCCTCCATTCTCCTCTCGGGATCTTGGGCACACACGCACACACACTCGGTGTGAGTTTTAGGTCCAGGACAACTGCTGGTCTCTGTGACAGGGATTCTTCCTGGCGCTCCGCCCCACCTCCTTCCTTCCTGCCTGCACACCTGTCCTTCCCCAGAGAGCCCAGGAAGACACTTCCACTGGCCGACCCTTAGTGCTCCCTGACTTGGCTTCCTCCAAGGCCTCGGGGTGCTTTTCCAGATGTTGGGTGAACTCGTTGGAGAAACTGCTTTAAATGGGGGTGAGGTGCTTCTCTCGTGCTCTGCTGACCCCCCACCCACCCCCCAGCACACCTGGGGGAGTCTCTGTCACACAAATTCCTCTCTCCTCAAACCGAGCGTTCTGTGCTTCAGTCAGCTGTCTGCCCTAGAGCCTCACAGTCCCTCAGTTTTGGGGTTTCAGCATCTGCACCCTCCCATCCTCAGCTCTGCACTGCCCTATCTCGGCAAAACTCCCGCCTCCCATCTCTTTCCTGGCCATCCAGACCTGGTCAGCCTGGGCTAGGGTGTGGAGCAGGAGTGGACCCCAGAGTAATTCTCATTTCTTCAGAGCCTCCTACTGTGGACTTCCTGTTAAAGGGATCATTCTTCCTTTTCTCATCTTACAGAAGTGGGTGCCCTTTAAGAACATTGGGAACACAGCCACTTGACAGTAGGGATAAAGGGTCTAGTCTAGCCATCCAAAACAACCACTGAGACTACATGGGGCAACTCATCTCAGGTTTTTATTTGGATTTTTTTTCTTAATTATTTTTATTTAACTTTATTTATTAATTTATTTTAATTGGACCAGAAAGGGACAGAACAAAAGAGAGAGAGAGAGAAAGAGAAAGTGAGAAAGCAAGCCTACCAGGTCTAGGACTTGAACCGTGGCCAGCCATGTGGAAGCCCAGCGCCCTTAACCACCATGCCACCTGCTGGCCCCCTGAATAATGTTTTGTAGCTGAAATATACCATGTTTTTTAACCACTCTGTTTTGAAAGATTCTAAGTCAGTGCTTCTGAAACATGAATATAATCTGAGATACTGTTTAAAAGCAAATTATTTAGTAGATCCAGGAAGGACCCAAGAGTGCATTTCTTTCTTTCTTTTTATAAATTTTTTTTAAAAAGAATTAATTATTTAATTTTTATTTATTCATTCATTTATTTTAC